TTGTAAATCATATCATAGTAGATAAATTAATTTCATTAAAATAATAGTTATTATTTCCCCATTGTAATTGATTGATAATTTAACTTTTATTTATAAAGGTAGATAGAGTTTTTTAAATGTGGGATGTAGATGCTACATCAAAAATTGTTAAAAGTCAATTAATTTAATATTTCATATATAAAAAATTGATAACATATTAACAACGTTATTAACTTTTAAAATGCATCTATGATTCAAGTTCACAGAAAATTTTATAATTATAAAACATTTTAAATCGATATGAATCATAAAAAAAATTGACAATTGGACTTGAATGCTATGCATTTATAGATAGTGTAGATTAAGCAAGTAATGCCATAAGAATCATACTACAATAATATAATAGTTGAAATAATGTACACATAACAAGAATCATATTGTTTTACTGTTATACATTATATCAATTATTCAACACTTTATATATTTACATATCATTTATTATGTCAAAAAAATATATCAAACTTACCTTATTCGTATTTACATATCATTTATTATGTCAAAAAAATATATCAAACTTCCCTTATTCATATCATAATCCACCTGAAAATGAAGCCCATGTACAGTTAATTGAGTTGTAAGTCCATTTAGAGTCAGCCCAAAACATTGTGGACTTGATATCCGTAGTGGCCCGTTTCCAGAACCTTCCAAACCCTTCGCTGTTTCCATGTTTTCCCTTGTCCATTCTAAGCTGATCAAAATATTATTTTATTAGCATCCATGAAAGCTTGAAGATTGTGTGATCATATATCCTTGAGCTCATATTCTCCTTCATTATTCACTCTATCTCGTGCAAAATCCAGAGTTTTCCTGATTTTTTCGCAGTTGTAAGTCTCGCACAGATACTGATTGTTTGATCGTATATATGTGTTTGTAAGTATCCGTGCTCGAGCTTTAATGGATGCTAAACTTCCCCCTCTTTTAGCTGTATTAGTTTTGTTGCGTGGCGATTGATAACTCGTTTTGGTTTCTTCATTTTATTAGTAGATAGCGTTTTAGTGTAATTGGCGATATTGAGTTTACTGTTTGCTAGGGATTTTATGTGGACGTTCCTAGCTAAATCATGCGTCGGTTGTGCATCTCAAGTAGTGACAGTTGCGTTCAATGAATCCTCTTTGTAGAAATTATCGTAGGTACAAAAGCTAGTAGTCATGTCTGAGCTGCCATTTCTAGTTTAGTGGTTCATCGGTTTTCACCTTTCCATTTTGCTTGTAACTTTTAGCATTTCACGTTTAAGTTGGGTCAGCTTGGTGCTAAGAATTTTGATTCAGCTGTTCTCTTTGTTCTGCTATGACGGGTGTACTAAGAATTATTGATTGATGAGATGTTTATAAGAGATCATCTGTTTGTCAAAAGGGGCGGCTGAAATTTTTTGTGAACAGATTTGAGATCGTGGCTGTAATTTGAATAGACCCAGAGGAAAATTTGTACCTATCATGATAACCGGTCTTTGTAGGAACGCTCACAGTTGTATGCACATCGTTTGTTATATTCTTGAGGTAAAGGTAACTGTGTAGGTTTGGATGCATAGGGATGAGTTTCATGTGTATTCCAGTCGAGTTGTGTGGGGCTGTGGAAATATATTACTTGATTGTGGGAATCTTGTCTGAAATCTTAAATTAGATTTATTAAATGGGTAGCTGTTGCTCTGCAAAACTCTGCGGACTTTTTATGTTTAAGATTAGATTGTTTGCTCAGCAAGTTTAATTTCTTTGAGTGTTGTCAATTTATGTTTAATCACACAGCCGTATGATTTTGTATCCCACATGTAAGATTGTGGAACTTTTGTAGAGAAAGCAGAAAGAGAGGAGAGTTACTACTGGACTTTCTGTTTTGAATTTTGTGGGGCTAACCTTTTTCTGGTTGGATTTAAAAAGTGATTTGAGCACGGTGCTGATTCTCTTGCTTTACTTGCATTTGATTGTCCAGGGAGCTGAACATCCAAAATGCAGCAGGGCAGAGATCCATTCTTTGGCTTTGGTGATCCTTTTGGTAATTTTGGAGGCCAAAGAAGTCTAATCTCTAGCTTTTTTGGGGGAAGGGATCCATTCGATGACCCGTTTTTCACACGTCCCTTTGGAAGCATGTTTGAGTCAAGCATCTTTGGATCTAATGGAGGTCCATATATGAATCCACTTTCTTATGGATATCTTGAACATCAGCCTACACAGCCGAATGCATCAAGGGGACCAGTGATTGAGGAGCTGAATTCTGATGATGAGGTTGATGCAAAAGAAAATGGAAAGGACAAAAAGGAGAATCCTAGGAAACATGGAAGATCTGGTAAAGAGCCTTTTGTGGAGAACCATGATGATGAAGAAACTGGTGTGTGTTGCGTATTTTATGTGTACAGAAGTATCATATGTAGGTCATTTGTTAGATTATACTGTTTCCATTGACCGGGCATAATGTATACCACTTTGTTCGTGTAGAGCAAAAGAGCAAGCATATGGCTCGCCAAAATGAGATCTACCAGATGCAAAGTGCACGGTCACAGCCTCAAAGTCATAGCTTCTCCTATCAAAGTACCACTATTTCTTATGGTGGTGCAAATGGTGCATACTACACTTCTTCTAGAACAAGGAGATCAGGGAGTGATGGAGTAAGTGCAATTTCTTTTTTTCAATTAGTTCATTTTCTCGTACAGAGTTTGTGCTTGGATTGTGTGATATACTTATATTGCTTTTACAATCCAGTTAACATTTGAAGAATGCAAAGAAGCTGATTCATCTACTCGCCAAGCAACTCATAGGGTCTCAAGGGGTATCCATGACAAGGTATTGTTCTATATTGTCCTATCAGGAACATCAATCTTGACTGGCATCTTGAATGTCTAACGTGAATGTGAATCATGATCTAGGGTCATTCCTTAACTCGTAAGTTGAACTCGGATGGGCATGTTGACACAATGCAGACTCTGCATAATCTTAATGAAGGTATCTTATGTGATGTTTATGGACTTACGCTAGTTGGTTCACGTTGTGATGAATATTTATGTGTCTACATTGCTTAGACGAACTTGGCGGCTTTGAGGAAGCATGGAAGGGAAATGCCAGGAAATATCTCCCTGGGTTGGGTGAAAGATTCACTAATCAAGATGGTAAAGGTATGTTGATCATTTATGTTGCTTGCACTTTTTTTAGGCAATTGAAATTGAAATCAATTGATAATTTTGGCTGCATTGCTTAGATGGCCTGCGATTAATAAGATATTTTGCACTGCTTGATTGACTTTTCCATCTTCTTACCCAAGATATTGTATGTGAGAAGCTTGTTTGCTTCATCTGATGATATAATATAGTTTCTGTATTGATTATGGAAAACTATGCCAGAGGAGTTATTATCAATTAAGAAAAGGTAATCTTTTTCATGTTATAAATAGCCTTCTAACAGTATGTATGCAAGAGCCTAGGGGTATTTGTGATTTGGATGGATTATGACAATTAGAGCTCTCTATAAACTTGCTAAACTTAAGAGGTAGTATTTTTAATTGTCACTTAAAATTTGAATTCTTCTTGATGATAGATTGGGCACTGTCCAGGATTTTGCCTGTTCGGGTATCTACCCTGATACTGATTGTATTACCTAGTATTGATCACTGCCCCTGATAGACTTGTACTTGTCTGAAACTGGGACAAAGACAATTTGGGACATAAATATTTAAAAAAAAATTCAGTTGTCACTTTTCACCAATAGACAGTGAATATTACCATACAAACTACAAGTTAAAAGATGGGAATTACATTAGCTCAAACATTAAAAGAAAAAAAAAAAACATCGACACTTGAGTGTAATAAAAGTTGGGGTTATAATTTTGGACCGTTTGGTTTCTTGGGCTTCAGGCAATTAGTTTTGTTGTCCTTCAGTCCTTGTGTAATATATAAACGATAGTATTGTTACGTATGATCAATGTTTTTATACATGCAATTAAATCGAGACAAACAGTCCGATTTTGGGATGAAATTATATGTTACTGATACTGACATTGGTTTTAACGGTTCTACACTGGGAACGGCATAAAAAATGAAGAGAACTGATCTGAACAACCTTTGTCGGGGGCATGGCCACATTAATCCAATGAAAAACCTGTTTTTTTGTTGGCCACCCCTACAGTTAAAACTGTGAATGGAGTCATTTTGCAAGCAAAGAGCTAGACTCTTGATATCTGGACTCAAACCACTTACACGTTGACACATCAATTCTGTACAAAAATATTTCAGTGTTTGGAAGCGGTTATCAGAACAGGCTTGGCAGAGATGGATGGGCTCTTCCTTCAACCTATAGTTCAAGCAATCAAGGAAGCTCGAAACCAGATATAGGAGGCATGGCAGGTGCGCCACGTCATTCTGCAAAAGCCAAAGCCGATGGTAGTGGTCCATCACGCATTAGATCAAACAGAAGCGGGTCCAGTAAACAGGCCTATTATAGACATTAGGAATTTTGGGAGAGCATTTTGTCCAAGTCTTCTGATCTGGACTCAGACACTTTTATCTCGAGTGGAATGTATCTGCATTTCTGATGACTGATGCTAAAAACTATATTACGAAGCTGAGGGTATTTCTCATGGTATTTTGTGTAGCGTAATTGCAGTTATCGTACAAGGCCTATATGGTCACCCTTTATGATGATTTAGCCAGATTTTGTGTTGAATGTTGGTTGTTCACAAGTACCTTCATATTGTTGCTGCTTTACTAATGAACAGTACTACGGAATCAAAAGCTGGGTCAGCTGGGTTTGTGAACACAGGCATATTCATATTGTTGCTGCTTTTGTGATTAATAGTATCATGGAATCATTTTTAAAATTAATAAGTACTATTTTCTAACCTCACTTATGTCACTATATATCAAATTCTTTATTCATGGAACACAGGCATATTTTCTAACCCCACGTTCATTACAACATTTTCATAGGAGCTTTTGTTCAAAAAAATGATTAAGGGATTTAATTGTTATTTGGTTGTTTGATTACTGTACTGTATATATACCACCAAAACATATAAGTTATAACATATTATAGTAATACACTTTAAAATATTTAATTTTAAAAATAAATTATATACATATTAAATAACTAATTGACATGTATAATTATATATTATTATTATACATTTATGTCCTTAAAATATTAAATATATTGATAGATAGATATAGATATTATTTCTTTCCAAAAATTGAAAATGTAGAAGAAAATAATAAAAGAGGGCTTAGGAAAGTAGTTTTATTCTTGAACATATACTCTATTTGAACATGATATGTGATGCGACTTGCGAAACCTGATATGTGTGTGTTTTTATGGCGGCTATTATCTGACAACTTTTAAAACCGCAGTTCTGTAACGATACAGTGACGACGTTGCACAATCTGTAGCACTAAACTTCAATACTTGATACAGCAGAGCTCGATAATTTAGTGTAATGGCGGCAATCCGAGCCACAGCCAATGCGATTATGGCTGCGCGATCAATTTTCCATCCCAGGCTTCTTCCACCGGCTTTTTTTCGCCCGATTTGGCCGGTTATTGGCTATAAAAGGCTTTGCGTAAGAGCTCCAGCCCGATTTTATGCTGTAAGGTGCTCCTCAACGAAGTCTGGCGCCGGAGAGAAGAACTCTCCGGCGCGGCTGGCAGAGGTCCAGCGGCTTTTGCACGAGGCCGAGGAGCGGTTTAAAGCTGCTGGAGGTGGCGCGGAGCCCATCCCTCAAATAAAGCTAGGTACGGTGTAGCAGCCTCTTCATATGCGTGAGATCGAACAGTATATCCCTTTTTTGGGTAATTGATTGTGGTGATGATTATGAATTTAGTTGAATGGTTGCAAAAGGGTTTTGAAAATCGCCGTCTTGGTTGGACTGCGGTGATTGACTAAACAAGTGCTGGATTCAGGGTTGTTAGCTGATGGTGGTAGTGAAGGAATCTAATGGAGGTTGCTAAACTTAATGCGTAAACACGGTTGATATAATCTCCATCTTCTTGTTAAGGAAATTTTCACAGCTTCCTTCACTAATTCCCTGTAATAACCTATGTTGATACAATCTCCCATCTTCCTTGTAAAGGATTTTTTCACAGCTTACTTCACTAATTACATATAATAACCATGTCTCCGAGGTCTCATCCGGTAGTTGACTATTTAAAGCTATGGACTTTTATTATCTCTAGGTGTTTGAAGTTGCCTGTAAGATGATATTTCCTCCCATCTGCAATTGTTTATGAATGTCGCATTATCAGTCCTTTTGTTGCCTGGTGGCTATTGACATAGAAGTATACAAACATGCACATTTTTTTTTGGTTTTGAGCAATCCATCAACAAGCATTTGTTTCTGGCTTTACATTGTATGATGAATGGCCTGGTGGACATTCTTCAGCTTCTATATCCGTGTGCGATTCTTCAGCTTTTATATCCTTGTGCAGATCATGTAACTGTAAGCTATGCTAGGAGTGGTGGGCCAGGGGGACAAAATGTCAACAAAGGTTTGGGGTTCTCATTTCATCCTTAGTTCATAAGCCAGCCTTTTTGGGTGTTTAAAGCACTAATTAGATTTTTGTATCTGCAGTAAACACCAAGGTTGACATGCGGTTTAATGTTAAAAATGCTCATTGGTTGAGTGAAAGGGTGAGGGAGAAGATAATGCAAATGGTGAGTTGTTTTCTTATGCTCCGTCTCTGTGTGTGGATATTTTATGTTTTCTTGATTTGCTCCCAAATATTACATGAATTTGTGTTATCTGATTTTTTCATTCGACAGAACTTTGAGAAATTAGTGACTGCAGTATCCTTACAGTGAAGAACTAAATAAATAAAAAACCACAGAAAAATATAAATATTGTCTTCCATCATTGTTTAGGTGTTGATAATACATATATTAGGTAAAATATTTGGTTATGCTAAGTAAATGTGAACAGATTGTATCTATTTGCTTTAGTATGGACATTGGATAGTTGGAAACTGAGCTTTGGCAAAATAATTCTTATAGGGAGATATTGGACCTTTCTTTTTCATTCTTTTTTCTTTGACAGGAGAAGAATCGGATCAATAGGGATGGAGAGCTTGTGATTTCTTCAACAAAGACAAGAACTCAGAAGTAAGGCTTTTTTGTTAACCTTACTCATTAGGCTCCATTTGGGTGTGAGGATGTGCTTGGAAATGGATATCGAAGATTTTCAAATCCTCCATTACAAATTTATTGAGTTTATTTGAATGCATTGGATTTTAACACATTTTTAACTATTTTAGTAGTCATTTGGGTGGATTTGAAATCCATTTTTCACGGACTTATAATTATTCTTCCCAATCCTCTATTGAAATTCCAAACCCTTCCATCCAAATGCAACCTTCTGCTTTTTCCTATTCTGTTGTTCCTTGAGCAGTTGTTTATATGGCATTGTTATAGGGGTAACACTGAAGATGCTTTGGCAAAAATACAGGTATGTACTACTTACTTTAACAAGAAATGTATTTATATGTAAAGGAACTCATAGGTTGTACTGCCTGAGTTTCTCCATGGCTAGAGAAATGGGCCTTTTACCTCATTATAGCTATGCCAACTAGATCATACATGGTGGTGTAATTTTTTGCCTTTCCCTTTACTTGAAAATAAAAAGAGTTCTGTTTGTATGCTTCTCATCTGTAAATTAATTAATGCTGCAGGCTATTATTGATGCTGCTTCATATGTCCCTCCACCTCCTTCAGCAGAGACAGTAAAAAAGATTGCTAAATTGTAAGAACTCAGTCAAAATGCCTCTTTCAAACCTCCACTAAAATCTCTCGCATAATCATTAATGTGGATTAAATTAACCGCTTTCCTTTCGCTACCAAAGGTCTGCTGCTGGGGAGCAGAAACGGCTGGATAAGAAAAAAGCCCTGTCACATAAGAAAGCACAAAGAAGAAGCCGAGACAGCTGGGACTGATGCTTGGGCATATAAAATCATCGGCTGTAGTACGAATTGCTTTTCCAAGGTTGAGCGATATGATTTCGAGTGAACCGAACTACCATTGCCAGCACTTACATCCAGTGATGAGTTGCCGCTTGAGAAAAAAGAACCACGTTATCATTTGTTGGAAACATACGATGTACAACTCATTAGACCGGACTCGATATTTATGTGGTCAGAGACTACATTTTGGTAGGTCTCTGAAGATTTGGGCTTTCCTCTTTTATTGAAAATAGAACATATGTTTCCGACAAAATTATTCTTCATCTGAATTCCAGAGTGCACTAGCTATTGCTACCTAGCAAATCATAATTGTCTTTGTTTCTGCTGCACATGCTAGTTGTTTTTTCCTTTTGCATTTTTGATTTCAGGTGCTTGTAGCTCGAGTCATTGTGCTTGTAACGGCCTGTAAGCGTTTGTGGCTCGGTTTATGGTTGGGCAAGAAAACTACCATGGGTGTATTGATTATTAAGTTTATCCAAAAATATGATGGGGAAGATTAAACAAAAATTTTCTGTTGGATAATTTTAATCCTCAGTTTGTCTAAAATATTGCAGAGAACAGAGAGAACTATCTCAATCACATGAATACAGGTTTGTCTCTCCCTTCTAACTTCTCATACCACAAAGAAACTAACCATGTCAACTTCATTTTCATTTATCATCTTCTCCAAATTATTAACAAATGTTTATTTTCCATTTTCCTTCATAGACTAATGATCAAGATCCAACTTTTGAATCTTGCAGTTTTTCGTAGTTTAAACTATATGTCTATATCTATCTCCTGTCCTTCCAAAACTATGATAAATATATTCTCATTCATTTCCTGAATACAAACTCTTCCCCCGACCGCCAGTCGACATGTTTGATCCACCTTCTCTTTCTCTTCCCCTCACCCGAACCACTGCCCGTGGCCCCAACATGCGAGATATCCAAACCCTTCCCAACCGGCAAGAAAACCGACCTCACAATCCCCCTNCCCCCGCCACCTGGAATCCGAGCCGCTGGCGTTCTTGCACACGATCACGGCCCCCCTCTCCCCCAACTTAGCCGCTCTCAGCATTCCCAGAAGGTCATCCCGTGCGCAGTTCCCTACCAGAAAGTCGATCCCTTCAAATTCCTCCACAGCCCTCTCTGTGGGGCCCACCACAATTTCGCAGGCTGGCTGGCCGTGCAGCAATCTCATGGACTCTGCGTATTCTGATTTTGATGCCTCGTCGGGGACTATGCAGACGTGCCTGCCGCCCGTGTGGGTGGCAGCAACCGCGAGCCCGATGCTGGTGGCCGTGGGCCCGCCTATGGACCATGTCTCGACAATCAGCCGAGCATTCCACCCGGCGGCCATGGCCGAGATGAGCTCGGCTACTCCTGGATTTCCAATAATCGATGGTTTTCGAATGCTAATTACTGATTTAACGGTGTCCATATATGCTTTTGTGGCTGTCTCTGGAGACCAAACAAGCTTCNTTTTTCTTCTGTTTTTCCTTTATTTTGTTTGTGTCCGTCTTTTTCTTATAGTTCAAATTGTGTTTTTCTTAGCCTCTTATAAAGGTGGAGTTGATTATGGTGCAAGAAAGGTTTGTTTCCAAATAAATGAGAGTGCGACGGCAATTTGGACAAAAGATGTCAATGTCGAAAGCGTTGACCAAGATTGTAAATCAGTAAATCCAAGGTGAAAGTCCAATGAGGGGATTTGTATCGAATTTTATTTTTATGAACTCGGACAATACTGAACTGTTTATAGCGACGTTGACAATGATCAATATTTATTGTTATTATTATTTTATTTTATTTTGTATTTTTCTGTTTATATACTTACGCTATAATTAAATTCAGAAAAGGAAGATATTGCCATTTGAGGATTTTGTTTGAGGTGGTACAGCAACGTTTGATATGTTCTCAAGGAAAAAGTAAGAACATTGTTTGTTGCAACACTATATTGAGCAAAAAGTAAAGAGACTTGAGACAACACTATGTATGAAGTTTTATTTTCTTAAAAGTACTTAAATCATTACACATAATTTATCGATCGATTTGACAAAGTTTTTTTTTTTTTTTTAAAGAAATAAAATCATAGAAAATGCTCATCTACCTACCGTGTGTACATTTGTTGTACAGTGATAATTGAACATCATACTCCCATATAAGATAATCTCCAACTATATCAGTATATGAGTTGGTACGTACCATATTAAGCTACTTTTTATTTATTGGTAGAATAAGAATATCAATAATATCATTTATAATTAACACGCTTTATTAGCGTTGTACATACACACACTTCAATCACAGAAGAAGAAGAAGTTGAACACAACACAATACAATTCAATTCTTTGAGGGTCAACGTCAAATCACAAATCCAATACCAGAAGAAGAAGAAGAAGAAGAAGAAGAAGAAGAAGAAGAAGAAGAAGAAGAAAAAAAAAAAATCAAAATAAGGAATTTAATCGATCACGCGTGGGGTCTTGAATCAATGTTCTATTTTCCTTTCTGGATCATAAATGAATAAATAATTTAATTACAAAGAATTGTAAAGTGATAAAATATATACAATCATGCATATATTGAAGTATGTGATGACGTGGATGGATTACTATTTGTCATTAGTGATAATAATTAGTGATTCGACCATAGGGACCATAATGGGATTGCACAGCCAATGGTAAATAATTGAATGCACTACTTTTGAAATGGTCCAAATAAATAAATAATTAAATAACAAAAGCTGTCACACGTACATGGAACTGTACGTATTAGAATTAGTTTATCCTTAGTCAATTTACCACAACGGGACCAATCTTTATTTTAATCTTTTTGTTTGTTAATTATTTAAAGTGAATTGATAATTAAGATAAGATACGCCCTCTAATTGTATTGATTTGTAAATATAATAATTTAACACAATTTTAAAATAAAAAACTAAAAAAAATAAGCTCTTCAGAATACAGTACCCGATTCATCAAATATACTTTAATATCATATAATTTCATTTATTTATAGCATATAATAAACCATCTTACAAGTATATTAAATCATTATTTATCAGCTTTCAAATATGTAACATCTAATTTTAGATCCAATGATTTTAATTCTCACAAAAAATACGTTATATGTATCCTAACCTTTGAGAGAGGAATTAACAATACTTTTAATGTGCGGGAAGTAATATTATTTTCAATTCTTTTGAACATAATTGATTTCTTAGACGTCTTAGGTACAACTTTGTTGTCACCGCAAATGGCATTAGTCAAACTTAGACAACGTATTTTACAAAAAGTGTATAATCTGTATAAACTATAAAGGACAATTCGAGTCTAATTGTTGTATAATGTATATCATTTTACTTTTTAAAAATATTATACAAGAAAACTAATGGAAAAGGAAACTAATGCAGAAGGCATTACAGCAATGGCGTTGACTTTTCGAATAAATATCAGATGGAAAATTAGGTTAAGAGTTGACAATGCACCACCTGATTCCCAATGTACGGCCACTAATTTCTTTGTAATTGTAAAAATGTAATGCAGGATTTAGTAACATAAATCTTTATGCATGTTACAATCATCCAGTCATGTTACACGAAAAAAAACTGAACTTTCATATGATATGTGTTAGAATATCACTTGTGAGTTGTCTCACATCGTTCATACATGGAAAATAAACTCACTTTATAAGTCTAATGGGCTACTCTTCCTTCCACCAATTGGTTTTGGGATACCCACCTTATAAGTCTAATGGGCTACTCTTCCTTCCACCACCAATTGGTTTTGGGATGGAACCTCATTTAGGCCTTCATATGGGAGCCTTCATATGGACTTTTCCCCGTTCATGGTGTCACCCCAAAGTGGCGAAAATTACTGTTTTACCTTTGAATTATGTGCAAAACCTAAATGATATGAAATGTATTACTGTTTTACCCTTGAATTATGTGCAAAACCTAAATGATATGAAATGTGCGCAACATGATTCGAACATAGGTTGGAAAGGAAGGGAATGGCCGCTCAACCATTGAGCCATATGCATTAATGTGTAATCTATTGAACATAAATATATCTATACATCATACTGAAATAAATTAAATAGTTTAAAAATAAGTAAATAAATAAAATAAAAAGATAATATGTCAATTTACTATAAATTAAATAATTAATAATAATAATACTAATAAATTCCAATAAATTAAATTAACTTAAAATAATGAAAAAAATTAAATTAAAATAAAGTAAGATAAAATTTAATATAGTAGCGTGAACTAAAATTAAATAAATTTATAATTAAATAAATTTTAAATGAGAAAAATAAATACAAAAATGAAATTAATAAATAAATAAAATTAAAATAAACTAATTAAAGAAAAATAAAAATAATAATTATATAAGATAATTCGAGAGTTAAGAGGTCGACTTATGAATATATGTTGTTTCGGAGGCTACGCTTGGCCAACTCTCTGAGGTGAAGTCGTCTCAAGAGGGTCGTCTCAGTTAAGTCGACTACTGGAAGTCGACTACTGGAAGTCGACTTAAGATGTCGGGATGCTTGGCTGTTATGCTCTTGTTGCTCTTCTTCCGATGATGTCGACTAGCAGAAGTCGATAAACTAAAGTCGACTTGCATGTCGACCAGCGCCATTTCTATTTCTTCTCGGCTGCTCTTGACAGAATCGTCTTTCAGAGAGTCGACGGAGCCATGTCGACATGCGAGTTATTCGAGTAAGGAGCTTCTGGACCGGGTTATCCTTATGTGACTATATCAATATCTTAATAATTTAATTTAATATTTTAATTTATTATAAGTTTATATATTAATAATTTAATTTAATATAATTTACATTATCTTTTAAATTTAATTTCATTTATCTATATGTAATGCGATATATATTAATATTTACTATATCTAACACTCAACATTGAGTGGTGTGGTGGTGGCACCTCTTGTCTTGCCTCTAAGAGGTCTTAGGTTCGCACCTTGGAGCCAACAATTTTTTTTTATTCAATTTCTCGCGATATATTCAATATATCGCGATAAATTCAATTTATCATAAATATATATATAATATTCAGAGGGTATAACGGGGCTTTTGAAAAAAAAAACTAATGCCGTTAAATGGAAAATGGAAAAAAGGGAGCGTGTGCAGCTGGTAGTTAAATACAAGGGGGTCTGACGCAATTTTTAAAATACCAGGGGAAAAGGCGCATATTTCGTATAATACAGGGGGGTTTGGTGCATTAAACCCATAAGTCTAATGGGCTACTCCTCCTTCCACCAATTGGTTTTGGGATGGAACACCATTTGGGCTTCATATGGGCTTTTCTCCGTTCATGGTGCGTTTCATGATAGTGGGTCTGCACCCGTTTTTCCACCAGTTTCTGTCAGTATGACGATACAAATATTATATGGAGTGCTAATAAAATGACCGATTATAATAAAGGGACAATTTCTTTTATACCCCGACTTGAAGATATACTAAGTTTTTCACCTTGGTAAGTAACAATAAAAGTGTAACTTTTTCATCCTGAAAAATGTGAAGGTTATGTGAACGGTTCGCATAACTATAGTATATCAATCTCATATCAGTCACGTGAATGTCGCATGTTCAACTTATAAAGTGCGAATGTTATGCGAATGTTTTCGCATTTTTAATTTTAGCACAATATCATTCGCACAATTGTCGCATAATTATCGTATAATTCATTTTGAACTTTCTGGGTGAAAAAGTTAACTTGTAATCCAACGGCGTGAAATATTCGGTCTTCAGAACGTGGTGTAAATAACTATTTCTTCTATATAAAACTAAGGACAATTTCTCTTACGACAATTTCTTTTTCTTATACCCCAATATATACATGCATTTTCTCTTACACATTGTCCCATCAAAATATTTGTTTTTCACCCCAGAACTCACGAAATTATATGCGATTTTTAAATCGCATATCCAAACGAACCGCATAATTAACAATTAAACGAGATTTTGTCGTATATATACCAACACATATCCAAATCGGACGTGTAGTTAATAATTATATGCGAAACACATTCGCGTATTTGTTAATCGAATATTCAAATCTGTCGCATAATTCTTCATATGCAAAATTATTTCACATATATAGTAAGCCCGAGGGTGGTTGGCGTATATGCGGTTCGGTTCTAGTTAGCCCGTTAAGGGAGTTTCTGGTTCCGTTGTGATTGGGTTGCATTTCTTGTGACTTCGACTAGATTGTTCGCGTTTGGATGTTAGTTTGTGTTGTGTGGACGCTGGGAGTTCATGTCTGGTGGGGAGGACTTGTTTTTAGTTGTTTTGTGTTTGCTAGTTTTTTTCTTTTTTCCTAGTGTGTCTGCTATTTTCTTTGTTTAGTTGTGTGTTTTTTTCTATGTTTGATTTTCCTTTTGAGAGTTGTTGTATTCTCCTGCTGAGAGTTGTTTTTATTCTCCTATTGGGAGCTTTTGTTTTTTAGTATTGTTATGTGTTTAGGTTGGTTCTAGGCTACCTCGGATTTTTTGTCTATAGGGCTAGTCCTCTCAACTAGATTCAGTTGAGTTGTTGATTTATTCGGCTTTTGGCTGTTGTCTAGTATGTAATTATGTATTTTTTTTTAATTGAAGT